CAATTTTAGGCAAAAGTCCCAAAGTTGTCCAAATGCAGCTCTTCAAACCTCTGCCAAATCCAGAGTTTTCGACCCACAGCCCCGGGACAAAGCTTTTTAAGGTTGTTAGAACAAAGGGCAAAAAATATTTTTTTTCGACAAAAATCCGAATTTTTGAAATTCCCGGGTGCGCGGTCTTAGTTGGAACGCCCCTGACTGATTTGATTTCAATGTAATTTGTCAATACTAGCAGTGATGTTGGTTTACCTTGCACTACGCGGTTTCCATAAATTTGATGAAGAAGGTGATTGCCATTTCTCATCCCTAAGCCGTTTGGCAGGAGCTGAATTTTCTTCAACAGCTACCTCCTCAATTTCTTCAGTTACACTACCTAACTGCAATAAATCAAACAGAATTCCAAATTCAAATATAAGATGCTGGAAGTTTTGAATGTGGATATCAGGATAGTCACAATAACGAACAAAATATTACCTCATTTGTAACTTGCTCAGATGCACCAGCCAGTCCTCTGATCTGGAGGGTTTCAGCTGCTCTAAGCAATGCAGGTAGATTTTCTTCATCGATGTTTACCTCCCCTTTGTAAACAAAACATAATAAACTTTCCAGTTCAGAAAAATGTGTGTCTTGAAGAATGATCACAGGATGTTGACAAGGGTTAGCCTGAAATTGAGATAAAAGAAATGAAAAACATAGTTTTGTCAGGCTTTTGAATTATTGCAGTATTTTTTTTAAATACTCACCTTGAAAACTTCTCTAAAAAATGGGCTACAGGCAGATAGTATTAGTTTATGTGCTTGGATGCACCGTCCGTCACTAGCCAAAGTGACATCAACTAAACCATCCTCTTCCCATAAAGTTCTAAAGCCGGATGTTAAGCTTGAATGGAAACTATTCCATTTCAGACAAACCTGACCTCCACCCATGTTACTGGCACCTGAAGAACACATTAATTATGAGTACCTTGATAATTGTAACTAAAGAGAGGAGAAGTAATAATATATAAACCAAATGGAAAAATTAACAAACAAGGTCACAATGAGAAGTATAGCACGGCTCACACAGTAGCATAAAGATAATTGGTAAGATCGTGAAGATAAGAGTATGTATTAAACTGGATGATATTAAAGGACTCATACATTTCAATAAGACATTGATAATTGACACTAGTCTTTAAAATCGATAAGCATAAACGCATCTATTACTTTAAAATGAGGAGCAAAAAAATAACAAACTAGAAAAGCCAACTTGAAACCTAACCAATACAGTTCAGGTGTAGGGGTTGTTCTCGAGAGCCATGAAATCAACTGACATGATTGTTTTAAGAACCCGTAGCTGAGCAGGCGTTGATAACTACAGATACTACAAAGTAAATGTTCTCACCACAATTTAAATCTCAATCGCTGAGATTGAAGTCAAAGCCCCCCAGTCTTCTTGAGTTGCCGTCGCCCCCTGCTCCTGCGGTTCAGTGAAAAATGCATCGAAATGGAGCCTTTACATTTTCTGCCTCCCTGCAGGTGTGGCATCCAAACATACTACTGTTGGGAAAATCAGAAAGAAATCAATGAAACACAAACTGTTTACTTGTAAATACGGCAAACATGAAAACCTCCAACTAGAAAACTGACACAACAAAACACAGCCTCCTCTATGACGTAGGACTCGCCTCATCACCGTTGCCTAGATTCTTTGAGGCAGCGCCACCTACCAGAGAGCAGTTCAGCCCGGCAGCGCCACCATTTGAACGGGACCGCATCGCGACCAGGCCGCTCTGTCGTGCGTCGAAGGCGTTTTCCTGGTCCTTTGTTCTCCATTCATAACAATACAAATTCCAGTGATTGAATCCATAACCCATAAGAATCAAAATGCGCATGTACATTTGTGGCTGCCCAGCTGTCCTCCCCGACGGAAGTACTGACTTCGGTCCGAGGTGCGTTGCGTAGGTAGGATGGAGTTCTGCCTGGAGGCCAATAGTCGCTCCTTTCAATCTACTTTCGCCGACAGGGTGTTCGGTGAACACAGAGTGTGGGACTTTCCTTGCGTCTCCTACGCCCCGGACGATGCCGCTCTGCCCCTGTACCAGCACGGCAAGCAGTTGGACTATCGGGCCAACAAACTGTCGATGCGGTGCAAGTGCCTCGCGAGAAACTGGGAAGTGTTCAAACGGAACCTGCCCACGCTGCCCGTGGCTTCTGTCTTCGTCCCCAGCACCAAGTAAGAGAAAAGAAAAGGGGCTTCGAAGTGAATGGTTTTAATGTCAGTATTCCTACGAATGCCGCCACCTCTCCCACCAGAGACTACCACTTTGTCAACAACCGTCTGCAGTACCTCCCCGAGAGGCACGTCAAGGTGCGGATGCACATGAAGGCCGGGCCCTTGCTGGACAACTGGTCGCAGCTCCCCATACCGGCAGACACTCATTACAGGTGAAACGTGGGAAGCGTGGGTGAATGACATTGCCTACCCAGGGCGGGTCCCAAGGGGTGAAGTCGTGACCCTGCACTACCCCCCCCCCCCTCTCTCCCCATAGCAGCGCCTGACTGTGGGTACCCGCGGCTTCTCTGTCGACAGGTACCGGGCGCCGCTGGGTGGCGGTGTCCCCTCCAACACGACGGCGTGGTAGAGGAAGAGGACGAGACACAGCATCAGAATACTACTGCTAACAGTTTTATGACTGTCGGTGCAAAACCGTTCACGAGCCCGAGAAATATTATGCGTCGAAAATGAATCATTGTATAATCGGTGCGCGTCTATAAACTTCGAGCGACCAGAAACGCATCCTAAGTTAACCCGAATCTTGCTCTGAATTAGTCTGATCGGTTTGTAGCGGTATCGGGACCGAGCAGGGACGACCCGAGCCTGACGCTCAGCCACGCTCAGCCACGCTCAGCCACGCGCAGCACGTCCTGCTTCGCGGTGTAGCATGTGCCGAGGCCCCCGCACCCCCCGG